TCTAGAAGAAATGGATAATTTCCTGGACACTTACTCTCTCCCAAGACTAAACCAGGAAGAAGTTGAATCCCTGAATAGACCAATAGCAGGCTCTGAAATTGAGGCAATAATTAATAGCCTACCAACCAAAAAAAGTCCAGGACCAGATGGATTCACAGCTGAATTCTACCAGAGGTACAAGGAGGAGTTGGTACCATTCCTTCTGAAACTATTCCAATCAATAGAAAAAGAGGGAATCCTCCCTAACTCATTTTATGAGGCCAACATCATCCTGATACCAAAGCCTGGCAGAGACACAACAAAAAAAGAGAATTTTAGACCAATATCCCTGATGAACATCGATGCAAAAATCCTCAATAAAATACTGGCAAACCGGATTCAGCAACACATCAAAAAGCTTATCCACCATGATCAAGTGGGCTTCATCCCTGGGATGCAAGGCTGGTTCAACATTCGCAAATCAATAAACATAATCCAGCATATAAACAGAACCAAAGACAAGAACCACATCATTATCTCAATAGATGCAGAAAAAGCTTTTGACAAAATTCAACAGCCATTCATGCTAAAAACGCTCAATAAATTCGGTATTGATGGAACGTACCTCAAAATAATAAGAGCTATTTATGACAAACCCACAGCCAATATCATACTGAATGGGCAAAAACTGGAAAAATTCCCTTTGAAAACTGGCACAAGACAGGGATGCCCTCTCTCACCACTCCTATTCAACATAGTGTTGGAAGTTCTGGCTAGGGCAATCAGGCAAGAGAAAGAAATCAAGGGGATTCAGTTAGGAAAAGAAGAAGTCAAATTGTCCCTGTTTGCAGACGACATGATTGTATATTTAGAAAACCCCATTGTCTCAGCCCAAAATCTCCTTAAGCTGATAAGCAACTTCAGCAAAGTCTCAGGATACAAAATTAATGTGCAAAAATCACAAGCATTCTTATACACCAGTAACAGACAAACAGAGAGCCAAATCAGGAATGAACTTCCATTCACAATTGCTTCAAAGAGAATAAAATACCTAGGAATCCAACTTACAAGGGATGTAAAGGACCTCTTCAAGGAGAACTACAAACCACTGCTCAGTGAAATCAAAGAGGACACAAACAAATGGAAGAACATACCATGCTCATGGATAGGAAGAATCAATATCGTGAAAATGGCCATACTGCCCAAGGTAATTTATAGATTCAATGCCATCCCCATCAAGCTACCAATGAGCTTCTTCACAGAATTGGAAAAAAACTGCTTTAAAGTTCATATGGAACCAAAAAAGAGCCCACATCTCCAAGACAATCCTAAGTCAAAAGAACAAAGCTGGAGGCATCACGCTACCTGACTTCAAACTATACTACAAGGCTACAGTAACCAAAACAGCATGGTACTGGTACCAAAACAGAGATATAGACCAATGGAACAGAACAGAGTCCTCAGAAATCATACCACACATCTACAGCCATCTGATCTTTGACAAACCTGAGAGAAACAAGAAATGGGGAAAGGATTCCCTATTTAATAAATGGTGCTGGGAAAATTGGCTAGCCATAAGTAGAAAGCTGAAACTGGATCCTTTCCTTACTCCTTATACGAAAATTAATTCAAGATGGATTAGAGACTTAAATGTTAGACCTAATACCATAAAAATCCTAGAAGAAAACCTAGGTAGTACCATTCAGGACATAGGCATGGGCAAAGACTTCATGTCTAAAACACCAAAAGCAACGGCAGCAAAAGCCAAAATTGACAAATGGGATCTCATTAAACTAAAGAGCTTCTGCACAGCAAAAGAAACTACCATCAGAGTGAACAGGCAACCTACAGAATGGGAGAAAATTTTTGCAATCTACTCATCTGACAAAGGGCTAATATCCAGAACCTACAAAGAACTCAAACAAATTTACAAGAAAAAAACAAACAACCCCATCAAAAAGTGGGCAAAGGATATGAACAGACATTTCTCAAAGGAAGACATTCATACAGCCAACAGACACATGAAAAAATGCTCATCATCACTGGCCATCAGAGAAATGCAAATCAAAACCACAATGAGATACCATCTCACACCAGTTAGAATGGCGATCATTAAAAAGTCAGGAAACAACAGGTGCTGGAGAGGATGTGGAGAAATAGGAACACTTTTACACTGTTGGTGGGATTGTAAACTAGTTCAACCATTATGGAAAACAGTATGGCGATTCCTCAAGGATCTAGAACTAGATGTACCATATGACCCAGCCATCCCATTACTGGGTATATACCCAAAGGATTATAAATTATGCTGCTATAAGGACACATGCACACGTATGTTTATTGCAGCACTATTCACAATAGCAAAGACTTGGAATCAACCCAAATGTCCATCAGTGACAGATTGGATTAAGAAAATGTGGCACATATACACCATGGAATACTATGCAGCCATAAAAAAGGATGAGTTTGTGTCCTTTGTAGGGACATGGATGCAGCTGGAAACCATCATCCTTAGCAAACTATCACAAGAACAGAAAACCAAACACCGCATGTTCTCACTCATAGGTGGGAACTGAACAATGAGATCACTTGGACTCGGGAAGGGGAACATCACACACCGGGGCCTATCATGGGGAGGGGGGAGGGGGGAGGGATTGCATTGGGAGTTATACATGATGTAAATGACGAGTTGATGGGTGCAGCACACCAACATGGCACAAGTATACATATGTAACAAACCTGCACGTTGTGCACATGTACCCTACAACTTAAAGTATAATAATAATAAATAAATTAAAAAAAAAAAAAAAGAATACCAATATCAAAAGCTTCATTTTAGAGATTACTTTTGATGCATATATTGTAAAGCCACCTGTTTGAGATATGAAGTCGTTGAGATTTTTCCCATATATGATTTACTTTATCTTGTGGTGGCTACCCAGTTAAATATATTCCTGAAGAGTGTTAATGTGAGGGAACTAAATTTTTGTAAATTGAGTCATTTTAGAGCAGCAAGAATTTTTTTTTTACAGATTTCTATTATGATATAATTAATCTGATTATTTTAGAGCAAGACAGTATCCATCCCACCCCCACTCCTGCTCTGTCCTATGAACATATCCTTCAAAATTTTTGTCTTGTCAACATCTTGAACTGAGAAGCCAGTATTTAAATCTTAACCTTTATAACACACTGATTTTTACCATTTGCAGATGACAGAATTCCCTGTTATTCTTAATTTAGAAATAACTTACGTGAGTGGACTTGTTTCTAGTTTGTTTTGCTTGCTAAAGAACACAAGTTGTTTGGGTTTAGGATGGGGTTTGGCACACCTTTTTTGAAAGGACCAGGTCGTTAATATTTTAGGCTTGGGAACCGTATGGTAACTGTGCTTGTTGTAATTGGAAATACCTATAGACTGTACATAAATGAATGGACATGGCTGTGTTCTAATAAAACTTTATGTATAAAACAGGAAGAGATTGGGGTTTGCTGACTCCAGCCTAGAATTTTCTTCTGTTTAAGCTGATTTCATATCTAAAAGAAAGTAAAAGACAAGATGTCAAATTACTGCATAAGTTATTCCTATAACGTAGGCACCTGTGGCTTATAGAGACTGCTGTTTTTAAGTGTTGCTATGTTGCCTTTATATGTATAACCATAAGCAAAAATTTATTTCATCCTGATCTACCTTTTCCTCAAATATTTTGACTACCCATCATGTACCAGATGTTAGGCTGAGGATAAATGGTGAAGAGGCAGAGTGGCCCCTGTCCTCACAGAGCTGTAGACCAGTACAGGGGGCAGACAGTAAGCAAACAGAGTAATTCTAGGCTGTGATAAGCACTATGATGTTATCAAGCATGATGCTGAGAAGGAATTGGGGGCGTGGGGGGGTGGGGTATTATGTATATAGAGTGTTGAGGGGAGGCCTCCCTGAGGAGGTGAAGTTGAAGCTGAGACCTGAGGCCAAGAGGATTTAGTCATGTGAAAAACCTGATGGGTCAGAAGACAGTCATCCTCCCCTTCTCCCTCCGTGCAATGTCAGTCAGTATAAACGTGGATAAACTATTCACATTTTCAGATAAAATATTAAAAGCTATTTTATAACATTTCCCCCCTCTTTTTAACTTCCTTTTTAGGTAAGACTAAAAGCAATGAGAACAAATGGAAATTTTTGTCTTCTGGTTAACACATGCACATACATTCTGAGTATACATTGAAGTGTTGGCTACCAGGATAAAAGTGTTAGCATTGTGGCCTATTATTTAGAGCCTTCGAGATGTGTGGAATTTGTTAAGCATTGTTCATTTGCATTTTATAAGGTTGAAACTGCCTGTGTTTGTGTTCTCATGGCGCTCCTGAAGGAACATGCGATGGGAGAGCGCCCTCTGCTGGCGACTCTCCCTCATCGTGCTCTGCCTACTGTAGCCAGTGTGAGAGGCGAGGCTTCCCAGAGGGTGTGCTCCAGTGGTCAGGTTTTGGGGTCTCACAGGCCTTCCACTGTCATATCACAAGCTCTTTAGGTCACGTTTAGGAGAATATTCATAAATAGACTTGTACATCCCTAGCTCCTGTGCTCTGTTGCTTTTTTCCTTATCTGTGGCCCTCTAATTACCAGTGCTCTTTCCTGGACTGATTACTGACACTGTGATGGCAGATGAAGAGGGCAGTGTAAACTGAGTGAAGCGCTTGTGTTTTCACCTGGTATCTTTGGCAGCTAAGAACCACCTAACGTTGCCTCACTTTACTGATACATGCTGTTGACAGATGCACAAAATGAATATAAAGTGGATACGTGTGTGGTAGCATTTTGAATCTTTGTACAGGAGGAGCATGTCCTACGTGAAGTGATCATCCTGCGGGAACCTTGACCTAGAGGGATTCACCGTGTTGGCTAGGTTTGGGGTGTTTCATTTTTGTTCTCGGGGTGTTTTGTTTGTTTGTTTTTGTTTTGTTTGTCATTGTTTGTTTTTCATTTTTATTTCGTCCCAACATTTTCCTTTATGGTCCACCATTAGATATTGATCAGTTGAAGCTCATTTTAAGACTCGTTGGAACCCCAGGGGCTGAGCTTTTGAAGAAAATCTCCTCAGAGTCTGTGAGTTGATGCTTTGTAATTATCTGCCCTGTTGGGAGCCTCTGCCACTTGCCTTCTACCAATCTGTACTTTGACCTGGGTGTGTTTGTAAGCACACATACCCTTTGTGTGCTGACTTCCAGGATGAGTGAGGTATAAGATAGTGTGAGTGTGTGTGTGCGTGCACGCATGTGTGCCTGCTTGCATGCACAAGCGTGTTCTCTATCTGGGTACACACTTAAGATCATGGGAGCCTCTATTAGGCAATAGTATCCCAGTAAAGCAATGAGATTTGAGATTCTAATTCATTCCAAGAGATTAATGCAAAATGTGTGTCTCTGTCCTCAAGCTTTGACTTTCATCTTTCTCAGAAGTTTCACGTATGCTCTAGAGCTCTTTTCACTGTTTCTAGTGTTTGTTCTCAGCGCATGAACTTCACCACGTATTTAGTCTAACTTAATCACTAAAAGAATAAAACGTACATTGTCTGCACACTATTGCCCCTTCCCATAAGTTATTTTTTATTGTTTTAGAATAGATACTCACATATTCTATGTAAAATGTTCGTTCCCAACAGAGGGACCTTTCTACCCAGTCCCTAGACCCCACTCAGAAGAAACAACTCCACTCTTGATACCTCAGATCCACAGGAATGTGGTTATAAATTTTCCTCCTATTGCCTTGTAATTATAAGTTAAATAACCCGAGACAGAGTTTGGAGCTAGTGCTTTCTTGCTTCTAAGCAGGGACTTAGACGCCATGGGAATGTGACTCTGGCTTACTTTTGCTTGATTTCCTGCTCTTGGTCATTTTCTTGGGCCAGAGGCATGAGAGAAGCCATGAAAGCCCAGTTTTTTTTCCTTTTTCCCTCAATCTGCTGCCAGGCAGTTGAACAAAAGAAAAAATGAGCTACGGAGCCAAGCTCCAGTTATGCCTTCCTGGATTCTCCTCCCAACATTTATGACTGAAGGGGCCCTTTGCCTAGTTGGGAAGACTGCTGGGTAGCTTGAGGCAGGCATAAGTAGGTGAGTTGGAACCGTTCATTCACCTTCCTGACAAAATAAAGAATACCGTCATCTGGTATGTATCCGGTACATTTCTTGAAAGGATACCAAAGCCCAGTGTATTTCTGAACCTCCACTCTGAATTTTGTTTCATTTACTTATTTAAGATAAAGAAGCAAAGGCCCAGAAAGGCAGTAACTTTTCCACGTCATGCACTGAGTCACGTGGCAGAGCTGAGTATAGATCCCAGATGCTGGATAACATGATCCAAACTATAATCGCATGTGATTACACACTATTTTGGAAGTTGTTGTCAGTGTTACCACAATGTCAACCTAAAGAGGTATTTTTTCCCCCTTTATGATATATAGAAGCTGGATTAGAGTGAATCAAAGATATCAGATGATGCTTAGAAAGGGCAGTACTTTTTTTTTTTTTATGTTTTTTCTTAGAAACACTGTCTTACAGTAAGAGGCCCTAAGGGCAGAGGGAGGGCTGGGAAGAAGCTCAATTAATAAATAGTGCTAATGAGACCAAGCAAATTCATTTCTTTCCTGAGAGTGACTCTTAGCAGCTCTTTCTTAGTCTTCTCTTCCATCCCAGCCATCTGCCCTATAGATATGTGCTATTAGTCGCAAGGAATTCAAACCAAAGTCTAAGTAAAACAGTCAATAGTATTTATCTCTCATTAATCCATCACTTATTTTTAAGAAAGAAACACTAGGTGCACAGCCTAATAGTGGAGGTCCCTCTGTGAAATGAGGCACATTATATATTTCAACAGCTCTACTGAAATTGAGTACCAGAATACAGAACTTGACTCAAATAATATTATATTGAGTGTAAGAATAAGAAAGTTTTTTTTGTGTTTTCCTACATAATTGGGGCAAGTGGATAAAAGTAGTTTAAACATCCTAAGGGGTAGACAAGATAATTTCGTGTTCACGACACGGCCCAAGTACCTGTTTATCTTATGGTAACATAATGGAAAAATAAGGCCAGGTGAGTAAAATTGTTCAGAGATTTTTAAAATTTTAAAAATTAAAGAAAAAAGACATTAGTGAAGGAATGCAGAAAATAGAAAGCCAACAGCTATTTTCATTCTGAAAAGTAGTCAAGTAGCGATGCCAATAATTATGAAGAAATTGAATGCTGAGTAAGAGAATGCAGTAATGGATTGAGAACCTATTAGGATGAGCCATAGGAAAAGGTATAAATGGGTTGTGATGGAGGCCAAGGAAAGAGAATTCATTTGGTTAATGTCCCAGTATTTGTAATAATCAGTGAAAGAACAAGAAAATCATATTAAGAAAGCAAAAGCAGACTGGGCACAGTGGCTCACATTTGTCCTCACAGCACTTTGGGAGACTGAGGCAGGAGGATGACTTGAGGCCAGGAGTTTGAGGCTGCAGGAAGTGGTGATCGTGCACTGCACTCCAGCCTGGGTGACAGAGCAAGACCTTGTCTTTAAAAATAAACTAATTAATTAAATTAGATAAAAAAGCAAAGACCTGACTCATTCATATTTTCCTCCAGAAATAGAATCTTTCTAACCTCTTGACAGAAAGGGGATATAAAAAATAACCTCTTTGACTAAAGGAGACAAAGACAGAAAATGTGCAGGCCAGGTATTGTTCACAGAAAGGAAGGAGAAGTGGAGGATTTTTACATTTTAAGACCCAACTGGTATATTGCTATTGCTGGTTTATTTTGTGGCCCCTTTTTGTTACTTCCCTTGGCATGAAAAGTGTCATTTGTTATGTGATTTGTTAAAGGTAACTCTAAATTCTGTTTCCTAAACTCCTAACAAAACAAAGAATTCCATCATCTGGTATGGATCTGGCACATTTCTTAAAAGGACTACAAATCAAAGTGTAATTACTACCTCTTTTGGAATTTACTGGCCTCTGTCTTTGGGCTTAGGGAGTGTGAAAGGCAGCGTGGAGCACATGGCTCTAGCTCTCTCCCTGTGGCCAGCCTTAAACAGATTACTGCTAAGTCATCTGACCACTAGGGAGTTCAGTTCAGAGGACGAGCTAAAGTAGAAAAATTATTTGGGAAAGCCACAAAGAAGTAAAATTGCTTGGCCATGGTGCTTATTGAAGATGACGCTTCACCTGAATGAGGGAATTAGTAGTTAACAAGAAAAGGACTAGAAAAGGGGTTTATTGAATTACATTGAAGATTTTTAAAATCTCCTCACTTCTGCTTAGTAGGAACATGATAAACAGTTCTTACATTTTAGAAGAGGGCGAGTTGTATTAACATTGATAGAACAGTTAAAAGAGAGAAGTTGTGGTACAGCTTACATATGTGTCTATACATATAGAAAATCTCATAGTTCTGCCCTTGTCAGATACTTGCAGAGTATTTTGCAGACTTCCCTCCACCTGTTTGTTAAGTGAGGTTAGTCTGTTCACTTGTTGAAGAGACTTGTAGAGGAAATCATGTGGCATGCTTTAACACTGTCAGCAGCCTGTGACTTCTGTTTTGCCTTTGCCATTAGCCTCTAACCTTCTGCCCGTCTCCTCTTTCTTCATTTACCATTTTGTGTTTGTGACAAGTATTTTAAATGTACCACTAAATAATGTCTTTGAAATGTGGCATTGCTTATTAACCCAGATGCCCACGTGTATCTTAATTCGGAGGGATGGTGCCTTGGAGAACCTGTGCTGCAAAAGTTTAGTCTCTTTCTTGAATGGATATGTTGGATATTTTACTTTGTTCAAAGTTTGAGTCAAAAATTTTAGAATCATCTATATTTCTCCCACAAACAGGTTTTGGCCGTCAGTACTTGAAAACAGTTCTCTGGCTGGCATCCTGGATCAAGGGGCAGTCTGTTTCCAGGGAACCTAAAATATTTAACAGTAAAGATGATGCTAAAACCAAAGAAAAGTAATTTTTCTTATCTGCATGGCCAGTCACTGACTACATGCCTAGTTACTCATGTCATTCACAGAAGCGACTCATGTCATTCACAGAAGCTTTAACATGCAGCCTTGGGTCCTCGGGTAGGGTGAATGGGGGGTAGGTTTTTTTGTTTGTTTAGGGGTGGCTTTTTGACCTTTTTAAAAACTTGAGTTGAAAATTATTTTTTGCACTGTATGTTTAACAATGCCCTTGACTAGGCATCTAAGATATTAACCAGCTTCAGCAGATTATGCGTCTGACGGGAACACCCCCCGCTTATCTCATTAACAGGATGCCAAGCCATGAGGTGAGAACAAAGAGACTGTACAGGGATGTCGCACTGAAGCCACGTTCTCATTTTATTGCCACTGTATAACCAACAGTTTTTAACATCACTGGATGCTTGCATGTGCCTTGAGGCCTGCCTATGTGCTATTGCAAGATGTTGACTTTTGGGATAAAATGTCATCCAGTCTTGTGAGATTGGGATATAATTAGTAAGCTTGTAAATGGAAAATTGTTATTTTTATATTTGGTTTTGTGAATTTAGTGCTCGTGAGGCGGTTTCTTTCTAGGTGCTATGCCTGTAGCTAGGGTGTGCTACTATCATGACCTTTATCAGAAGGGTAGTTAACTGAAGTCCATTAGCATGCTTTCTAATTCATCCACTTTTTTAATGACCAAAAGAGAATTCTTTATTTCAAAACAAGACAAAACAAAACTGAAATATCCAGTACTAATACGTACTATATTTAAAAGAAAATACACAAATAATATAAAATAAATACAAACACTTTGGTATAGTTAGGTACCTTCTTTATTCTTAACTACTTAGTCTAACTCTTGTTTTATTATCAGAGGTGATTGGGGCACTTCTTTCTTTCTAAGATACCCTTAATATTTTGGGGAACCGGGTTGGCATCACAGAGGGCCCCTCCCAGCAACTTTGTTTCTACTTCGGCTATATTCAGGTCATCTGTTGATTTACCTTTATTAAAGGGATGACTGTTCTCTGAATGAGATAATTGTCTCTTACCTGTTTTCCCTTCATCTTTTTATTTACATGTTCAAGTAGAAAGGGATTACAGCCATTTATATATTCAATTCCTACAACTTTCTTTTCAAATCAGAAAGATTCTCAGTTGCTTTTCAAAGCAGACCTTTCCTCCTGACTCCACATGCAATCATTAAGAAGGTGAAGGCTGGGCGTGGTGGCATGCATCTGCAATTCTCAGCACTTTGGAAGCTGAGATGGTAGGATCAGTTGAGCCCAGGAGTTTGAGACCATCCTGGGCAACACAGCAATACTGCAGGTCTACAAAAAAATTAAAAAATTAGGGCATGATAGCACACGCCTGCAGTCTCAGCTACTTGGGAAGCTGAGGCAGGAGGGTTGCTTGAGTCAGAAGTTCGAGGCTATAGTGAGCTGTGATTGTGCCAGTGACCTCCAGCCTAGGCAACAGAACAGAGACTGTGTCTCTAAAAAAATTTTTTAAATAAATAAGGTGAACTTGCCCAAGCAACCAGATTTTTTTTTTTTTTTTGGTCTTGTTTTAAGACAGGATCTCACTCTGTCACCCCAGCTGGAGTGCAGTGGCACAATCTTAGCTCACTGGAACCTCCACCTCCTGTGCTCAAGCTTCCTGGGCTCCATCTCCCTGCTCAAGTGATCCTCTTACCTCAGCCTCCCAAGTAGCTGGGACCACAGGCATGCGTCACCATGCCTGGCTAATTTTTTGTGTTTTTAGAGACAAGTTTTCACCATGTTACCCAGGCTGGTCTCAAAGTCCTGGACTCAAGTGATCTGCCCTCCTTGGCCTCCCAAAGTGCTGGGATTACAGGCGTGAGTCACCGTGTCTGGGCAACCAGAACTTTTTACAACCTTGTGTGTGTATGTGTAAACATAAATATACATACATACCTTTACTGTTGGACTGTATTAAAACAGAAATTTTTAAAAGGTGGTTAAGATAGACAGCAGACTTTGCTTTTCTCTGAAGGTGATAGTGGGATAGCAGATAATGTTTCTTGAACTCTCACTTGGAACCAAGTACTGTGTTAAGAAAGTACTAGGTTTGTTATCTCTAATCTTCACTCCAACCCTGTGAGGTAGGACTGTTATATTAAGTTTATATTAACTTTTTTGTTACCAGTGTTATTTTGTTAGCAAGGTTTAATATTGATGTCCTTTGATGTGCTAAGAGCACTTACTGAAGTCAGCACTATCAAAAGACTGCTGGTCCAAGACTTACTTTGGGAATACCAACCCTTCTACCAATTTTAGCTTTTTGAGAAGGCTGTCTCAGAAAGGGCTACTTCTTACATATCTCGGCCTCAGTTTTTAAACTTCTCATCCTGTGATCAGAAAGCTGATGAAAGAGAATTTGATTGATGAGTATTCTCGTTCACTTGAAATGCAACTGTGAGAGATAGCAGGAATAAAGAAGGTGATGATCATAACTAGGAAGTTAGGATGGCAGTAAGGGAGAAGTTTTATCAAAGACAGTTATAAACATTGGAGTTAGTGGACTTTGTCAGTTAACACTCGTTCCTTAGCAGGACCAAGATTCTTTCTTTGAGAGAAGTAACATTATTGAACAAAGTAATTCTGAAAACGCTTGTTTTTTCAGGCAAGAAACTATATTCAGTCTTTGACTCAGATGCCGAAGATGAACTTTGCGAATGTATTTATTGGTGCCAATCCCCTGGGTAAGTTGACAATATCCTCACCTCATGGATATTGAATTGGTTATGATATAAATTGGGGATTTGAAGAAGAGTTTCTCCTTTTGACCAAATAAAGTACCATTAGTTGAATCTTGGAAGGTGATAAATATGGCTTTTATTATCTATTTGTGTTGTCAGATTTTTTTTAAATTACATGAGATGCTTATATGTTTAAACGATCACAGACCTTGGGGTCGGGGGAATGGGCAGGTACAGTGGAGAAAGGAGAGAAAGTAATAGGAATGTTGAGATAAGGGATTGGAGAGGCAGGAAGAAGCAGATACAGAAGAAAGCTGTAGCTTGTTCACAACTGCTGTGGATTCATGGTGTCCCTGAGTGGAGGACAGAAACCACTGAAGTGCAGGTGGGTGTTTAGAGGACCCACCCAGGAACTCCCTGCAGGGTGCTCTGCTCTATCGGTAGCTGCCGTTGCTACAGATCCTGTCATCTTCCACACACATGAACTTTTCCCCTCCCTTATTCTTTCTCTGCCCCTCAGAGGTGTAACTATCCTCTCCTCTTTGTGGAGCTTATTTGCTACCTAAACTTAAAGAAATGGCTTCATATGCCTTCAAGATCCTTGGCAGAGGGAAGTGATGGTGGCAGTTGAAGATATGTGTTGCCTTGGCTAAAATGCAATTGCTTTATTATTACTATTATTGTTATTATTTTTTTTTGGTAGTGTCAGGGTCTCAGTCTGTTACCCAGGCTAGAGTACAGTGGCACAGTCATGGCTCACTGCAGGCTTGAACTCCTGGGCTCCAGTGATCCTCCTGCCTCAGCCTCCCACATAGCTAGGACTACAGGCATGCATCCCCATGCCTGGCTAATTTTTTAAAGAATTATTTGTAGAGACAGGGTCTCACCATCTACTAATCTTTGTCTCCTGGGCTCATGCAATCTGCCCACCTCAACTTCCAAAAGTGCTGGGATTCAGATGTGAGCCACCATGCCTGACTGACTGTATTCTTTGAAGGGGAGGACTGATGTGTGCTTCAGATGGTCCCTGAAAGCTGCTTTGCCTGAGCCTCATTCCCTGACTCTAGAAGAGGGCAGTGGACAATGCTGTTTAATGGTAGACACAGAAAGATCAGACCAGGACCTCCCTACAATAGGGAAGGGAGCTATGCTATGATAACGAGTATAATTCGTCTTCTCACTTTTCTTAAGATTGTATTGTGTGGTATGTTTTAAAATCTCACTGCATTTCTTTGCATCTGTGTGGGTCATGTGTCTTCTTAAGGGTCTTGGCAGCTATGCTTCGGGTTTAGTTTTATCTTTTTGAGGGCCAACAGCCATGCTGACTTCTTTAGAAGCTGGGGTGAAGGCTAGGTGATTTTACCTTTTTAAGTACTTCATCCATAGTGGTTATGGAGAGGAATTTTAGCGTCGCTGTGATAATTCTTACAATAGCAGAGATGCTCATGCTCTTTGAAGTATTGGGCAGTTGTGGATGAGTTCATGTCAGCCTTGGAGACGGAGAGTATGTCATATCTCAGCTGGGTTGCTCTCCTGTCCAAGGATGAATCCACAGTCTCATCAGGGGTAGGTACGATTCTACTGAAATTGGTTTAGGTTTGCATCTGCCCTGGCATGCTCTAATTGACTTTGTATGATTTATTTGAGCTGAGAAGCTCTCTTTGAGCCTTAAGTACTACAGGATGTTGGGAAAAGATGTTGTGTTCTTTCTTTTTTTTTTTTTTTTTTTTTGAGACGGAGTCTTGCTCTGTCGTCCAGGCTGTAGTGCAGTGGCACGATCTTGGCTCATTACAAGCTCCACCTCCTGGGTTCAAGTGATTCTTCTGTCTCAGCCTCCCAAGTAGCTGCGACAGCAAGCGTGTGCCACCACGCCTGGCTAATTTTTTGTATCTTTAGTAGAGACTGGGTTTCACCGTGTTAGCCAGGATGGTCTCAATCTCCTGACCTCGTGATCTGCCCGCCTCGGCCTCCCAAAGTGCTGGGACTACAGGCATGAGCCACTGCACCCGGCCCGTTGTGTTCTTTCTTGTCTATCATTCTGTTCTGAATTTGTCCAGAACAGCCCTAAGCCCTAAGTTTTAAACAGGGCAGTACTCACTGACACCCTCTTAACGGACTCAAAAAGATTTGTTAATTCATTTTTTAGTGGGAGAGGGGAGATATTTGTGTTCCAGCAGCTTATTTAGGTCACATAGCTCCTGATAGGTCTTCCCATTCTTTGAAATCATGACGTTGAAACCGCCAAAAGAACTAGATACCACTTTGCTAATGAGTTGAAAGGAGGCTTTGGTCCATCTGGTGCTCAGCCCTGTACTTCTCAGCATTTAAACGTGCCTTACAGCCCATTGCCAAACAGTGATGTCATATAATGAGGTTCCCCTTGCCGGGCAGATGGAGTATAGTGTTACTGTCACAAGCTCATGCCCAGCATATTAACTGAGCAGGAACATGCCAGCAATATAAATATTAACAGCTCTGTTTCGTCAGCCACTGACTTTGTTTCACTGCTATTCCCAAAACATGAATTAAAACTTAAATTACGCCTTGATGTTAGTGTATATATTTATCTGTCAAGATTTTTTTTTTTTTAAGAAATAGCATCTCACTCTGTCACCCAGGTTGGAATACAGTGGCACAGTCATGGTTCACTAAAACCTCAAGCTCTTGCATTTAAGTGATCCTTCCTCTTCCCTATCCCAAGTAGCTGAGACTACAGGCGCATAACACCATGCCCAGCTAATAATATCTTTGAGGAATCTTTTTCTTGCCCCTGACCTTATTGGTTATAAGAACATGGTAGTTTTTACCCTAGGGGTAATAGAGACTTGTCATATAATCTGTGTTCAATTATAAAATCAACAGCTGATAAGGTTTCTTTTTCTAAGAAGAGAAGACCATCAGAAGAATATATGTATATATAATCCAGGCATTCACCTAGTACTGTACTGTAAAGTGTAAACTAATGAACTTGAATTGACACATGAATATTCACTTTGTTTCTGTATCCCCCTGAAGCCCATATTTCTCCAGTGGATTACTCTGGAATTCAAGCTGTAGGACAGGGGTGTTTTACAGCCTCCAGTATACACAGCAGTCGATCTCCATAGGAAGCTGTCCTCTTCACTATTTACCCCTACCCGCTCCACATTTAAGAAGTAATTTGCAAAGTCTCAAAAGCCTATTTCACCACAGTGATAACTGGTTATGTGGCAGTATTTATCCTCCCAAGTGCTGCCATGCTGAAACACAAAAATACTCATTTGAAATATAGAGTTAGACAAATCACCATTTTGTAACCCCTTATGAAAGAAATAATTGCTTTTGGAAAGGAAACCCAGTGAATGCAAAAAGCCATAAGTGAAAGGAACGGATATTTATTTGGTACCAAAATATCCCACAGATTACTTGCTTTGGTCAAAGGGGAAACATCTTAACCCAGTGATCAATTTTAGTTCATTACTAGTGGGACAGATGGCCTTAATGCATTATCACGTGCATGGCATCACCTGTATTTTTGCTGAAAATGTTTGACCTGATTCTTACCAAAATTTTTGGCCTAATTTCTGGTTTTTGGGAAGTACAGGGGATAGTGGAAAGCAGGGTATAGACACATGACAGCAAAAGAAGCAAAATCAGACACATCCCGAGAAACGGTCATTCTCAGGACAACCAGAGGGTCTCTTCAGATCAGAATTGGGAAAGAACAGGGCTTAGAAGTAAGGAGATTATTCTAGACTAAAGGAGACTAAAGAAATCCAGTTAGTTGCAGTGCATGGCCCCTAATTGAATCCTGGTTTGAACAAACTAGTTCTAAAAGACAACGTTGGAATAATTGGAGAAATTTTAACATGAACTGGATTTTAGATGATATTTAGAAATTATTTGTCAGAGATGATAACAGTATTACGATTATATAGGAAGATGTCTTCGTGTTGAAATATTTGGGGAGGGTAAAGTATCATGTCTATAATTTTATTTTAAAACAGTTCAGAAAAACATATAAATAAATACAAAAATGTTAATTGTTGAATCTGTATGCTGGGCATGTGAGTGTTCACTTTATCCTTGTTTTTACTTTTCTGTTTCTGTATATTTGAAATTTTTCAAGTGAAATTTTTTAAAATAAAATTCCCTTTGATTTTAATACCATGTCTCACCCCCATCACCATGTAAAACCCCCAGTTTATTCACTGTTTGAAGATCTGTTTGATGAATATTTATTTGTCTTATGTTAGTAAATAAACAGCGAAGGAGGACAAAAAACAACAACAACAAACACACAAAAAACCGTCCTGCCTACCTATTCTAGATTACTGTAGCTGTAGGCTTTTGTTTTTATACAGTTTGACTACACTGGTAGCAGTTTGACATTGACATTCCACAAAAGCCTGTTCAAACACAATCCTAGTCATTTAAAAAAATTTTTCTTTAGTAACATGTTCTTTAAAAATACAAGATACAGGAGGAGGGTGAGGGTTGAGAAATAACCTGGTGGGTACAATGTTCACTGTGTGGTTATTGGGCACACTGGAAGCCCAGTCCCCGTCAGTGAGACCCATGTGACAAATGTGCACGCGTGCCCCCGAATCAAAAATAAAATAAAACATTTTAAACATACAAAATACAGATACACACACACGTAAAGGAGAAAAGGGCCAGTATAGCCTAGAGTAGGTATTTTTGGAGGAGAATTCTTTGTTTGGATATGAAGGGTCAAAACTATGTTTGCTTAATAAGGCATACTTTTTTGTAACATATTAAAAACTATTTTCCTTCCTGTCTATGGTACTGATAGCTGTCGACTTGCTGGAGAAGATGCTTGTATTGGACTCAGATAAGAGAATTACAGCAGCCCAAGCCCTTGCACATGCCTACTTTGCTCAGTACCACGATCCTGATGATGAACCAGTAGCCGATCCTTATGATCAGTCCTTTGAAAGCAGGGACCTCCTTATAGATGAGTGGAAAAGTAAGTCCTAAGGGGGTAGGATTAACATCTTGTACCACTAACCGAAAGCGGTGGGAAAAATAAAAACTGAATGGTCATAACCAACTTGCTAAAGCTTGTAGTTGAGGTCTGTAATGCAGAATGAATATGTTCTCTGGTGGAAAGTGTTGCAGACAGTGATACTCTCTGGACCTTTGAGATACTTACATCTGGTCTGATTTTATGCACAGCCCCTCACATACAGGAGCTTTGCATGGAGATTTGAGGTTTTCAGAGTTATTGCATTTACAACGTCTCTCTGAGCTAAGTAAAGAATAGGATATTTTTACAGTTTTACAATTAGTAGAACTGGGGCAAAGAGAAGTTATGTCTTATCAGTTAACTTAGAACTAGTTAGGGACGGCCGGGCGCGGTGGCTCAAGCCTGTAATCCCAGCACTTTGGGAGGCCGAGACGGGCGGATCACGAGGTCAGGAGATCGAGACCATCCTGGCTAACACGGTGAAACCCCGTCTCTACTAAAAATACAAAAAACTAGCCGGGCGAGGTGGCGGGCACCTGTAGTCCCAGCTACTCGGGAGTCTTGAGGCAGGAGAATGGCGTAAACCCGGGAGGCGGAGCTTGCAGTGAGCTGAGATCCGGCCACTGCAGTCCAGCCCGGGCTACAGAGCAAGACTCCGTCTCAAAAAAAAAAAAAAAAGAACTAGTTAGGGACATAGCCAGGAATGGAACCCGTGTATCCTGTGTCCAGTCCCATATTCTTTCCATAAAACACAAGTTCAGAACTCCAGTTAAATCCAAAGAGCCAAGACCATCTGTTGCCGTAGCTTGTGAGAGTGCTCTTTCATTCTTGAGCACCTCCGTAGAGAGCTTAAGAGGCACTCAGCAATGAAAAACATGAGAAAAAAAAAAAGGTTCTTTTCTATGTCCTGCGAACTTCTGTGTGATAACGTGCTCCATTAGAATATTACATACAAGCTGTGAGGTAGCCCATCATACCACTACCTGGACAGGGAGGAAGGATCTTGAGTGAAGTCAGAGTGCTCGCCAGCAAAGAGAACAGCCTAAACTCTCACATCTTACTTTTCCTTCCCGATGTCTAGGCCTGACCTATGATGAAGTCGTCAGCTTTGTGCCACCGCCCCTCGACCAAGAAGAGATGGAGTCCTGAGCACCTGGTTTCTGTTCTGTCGATCCCACTTCACTGTGAGGGGAAGGCCTTTTCACGGGAACTCTCCAAATATCATTCAAGTGCCTCTTGTTGCAGAGATTTCCTCCATGGTGGAAGGGGGTGTGTGTGCGTGTTAGTGTGTGTGCATGTGTGTGTCTGTCTTTGTGGGAAGGTAAGACAATATGAACAAACTATGATCACAGTGACTTTACATGAGGTTGTGGATGCTTCAGGGCAGCCTCTACCTTGCTCTTCTTTCTGAGAGTTGGCTCAGGCAGGCAAGCTGCTGTCTTTTTAGGATTATGTTCAATGCAAAGTAAAAAAATATGAATTGTCCCCAATCCTGGTCATGCTTTTGCCACTTTGGCTTCTCCTATGACCCCCACCTTGACGGTGGGGCATAGACTTGACAACATCCCACAGTGGCACAAGAGAAGGCCCACACCTTCTGGTTGCTTCAGACCCGACGCTGTCCCTCAGTGATGCGTACAGCCAAAAAGGACCAACCGGCTTCTGTGCACTAGCCTGTGATTAACTTGCTTCGTATGGTTCTCAGATCTTGACAGGTGTATTTGAAACTGTAAATATGTTTGTGCCTTAAAAGGAGAGAAGAAAGTGTAGATAGTTAAAAGACTGCAGCTGCTGAAGTTCTGAGCCGGGCAAGTCGAGAGGGTTGTTGGACGGCTGCTTGTGGGCCCGGAGTAACCAGGTAGCCTTCAGAGGCGGTCATGTGTGCATGTGAGTGCATGCGTATATGTGCGTCTCTCTTTCTCCCTCACCCCCAGGTGTTGCCATTTCTCTGCTTACCCTTCACCTTTGGTGAAGAGGTTTCTTGAATATCTGCCCCAGTAGTCAGAAGCAGGTTCTTGATGTCATGTACTTCCTGTGTACTCTATTTCTAGCAGAGTGAGGATGTGTTTTGCATGTCTTGCTATTTGAGCATGCACAGCTGCTTGTCCTGCTCTCTTCAGGAGGCCCTGGTGTCAGGCAGGTTTGCCAGTGAAGACTTCTTGGGTAGTTTAGATCCCATGTCACCTCAGCTGATATTATGGCAAGTGACATCATCCTCTCTTCAGCCCCTAGTGCTATTCTGTGTTGAACACAATTGATATTTCAGGTGCTTTTGATGTGAAAATCATGAAAAGAGGAACAGATGGATGTACAGCATTTTCATTCATGCCATCTGTTTTCAACCAACTTTTTTTGAGGAGTTATCATGGGAAAGATCAGGGCTTTTCCCAGGAATATCCCAAACTTCAGAAACAAGTTATTCTCTTCACTCCCAATAACTAATGCTAAGAAATGCTGAAAATCAAAGTAAAAAATTAAAGCCCATAAGGCCAGAAAACTGCTATCTTCCTCTAAATATGATTACTTTAAAATAAAAAAGTAACAAGGTGTCTTTTCCACTCCTCTATGGAAAAGGGTCTTCTTGGCAGCTTATCATTGACTTCTTGGTTTGGGGAGAAATAAATTTTGTTTCAGAATTTTGTATATTGCAGGAATCCTTTGAGAATGTGATTCCTTTTGATGGGGAGAAAGGGCAAATTATTTTAATATTTTGTATTTTCAACTTTTTAAAGATAAAATATCCTCAGGGGTGGAGAAGAGCTGTTTTCATAATTTGCTGAATTTCAGGCATTTTGTTCTACATGAGGACTCGTATATTTAAGCCTTTTGTGTAATAAGAAAGTATAAAGTCACTTCCAGTGTTGGCTGTGTGACAGAATCTTGTATTTGGGCCAAGGTGTTTCCATTTCTCAATCAGTGCAGTGATAAACGTACTCCAGAGGGACCGGGTGGACCCCCGAGTCAGCTGGAGCAAGAAGGAAGGAGACAGACTGATGTTGATTCCCTCTCAGCCGGGACTCTCCCCCTTTCAAGGAGAGTGAACGTAAAGGCCTCATCTCCTTTATTGCAGTTCAAATCCTCACCATCCACAGCAAGATGAATTTTGTCAGCCATGTTTTGGTTGTAAATGCTAGTGTGATTTCCTACAGAAATACTGCTCTGAATATTTTGTAATAAAGGTCTTTGCACATGTGACCACATACGTGTTAGGAGGCTGCATGCTCCGGAAGCCTGGACTCTTAAGCTGGAGCTCTCGGAAGAGCTCTTCGGTTTCTGAGCATAATGCTCCCATCTCCTGATTTCTCTGAACAGAAAACAAAAGAGAGAATGAGGGAAATTGCTATTTTATTTGTATCCATGAACTTGGCTGTAATCAGTTATGCCATATAGGATGTCAGACAATACCACTGGTTAAAATAAAGCCTATTTTTCAAATTCAGTGAGTTTCTCAAGTTTATTATATTTTCCTCTTGTTTTTATTTAATGCACAATATGGCATTATATCAATATCCTTTAAACTGTGACCTGGCATACTTGTCTGACAGATCTTAATATTACTCCTAACATTTAGAAAATGTTGATAAAGCTCCTTAGTTGTACATTTTTTGGTGAAGAGTATCCAGGTCTTTGCTGTGGATGGGTAAAGCAAGGAGCAGATGACGAGGTATTAAGCACTGGGGCCTGTCTTATCTCCACGCGAAGGTAAGAGTGGCCGAAACGACAGGGCTCAGCAGACTGTGGCCTGAAGGCCAAATCTGGCCCACCACCCGTTTGGTGTAGTCTGCTAAGAATGGCTTTTACATTTTTAAATGGTTGGGAAAGAAAAACAAAAAGAAGTAGTTTTTGTAGCAGGTAAAAAGTAATGTAAAACTTAAATTCCAGTATCCATAAATAAAGTTTTATGAGAACAGAACCATGTTCATCTGTTTATGTATTGTCTGTGGCTGCTTTTGTGCTACAGTGACAGAGGCAAATAGTTGCAGCAGAAACTATACGACCTCCAAAATGTCAACCATTTACCATCTGGCCCTTTAGAGAAGTCTGCTGACCCTTGGCCCAGGGCTACAGTTTTCTCATCTATACAGTGAAGCTCAAGTTTTCTTCATCTTTGACATTCGAGACTATAAGCCATATATTTTTATTATAAAACTGCCAGAGTGAAGGTTGGGTTTGTGTATATATATGTACATTGTTTGTAAGCTTTTAGGCGAATGTATTTTATGACTGTTTTTCTTAGCTGGCTACGGTCCTTGAAAATACTCTTCAGAATGACTGAATTGCATCACGGGATGAAAGAGCCACAGGGTCTCAGAGCTGATTTCTCAGGGACTTTGCTGATGTGCTTCCTTTCTTGGTGTCCTTGGAATGACACCCAGCAGGTGTCCCAGGGTGGACCGTGGGGCTCAGCCTGTGAGGATATTGAGAGCTGGGTTTTTGTCTGGGCCCTGGCTGGCAGCGGGGAATGAAGGCAGTGATAGAAGGCAGACCAAGCATAGTCCCCTTTCCATCCCCAGTGACTTCGTAAGGAGGTGAGAGAAAAGGGCCCCAGTTATTACATGGGGTCCTTTAGCTCCTGTAAGAATCAGACAGTTGTAGGGAGTATTTTGCATTCACATACCAGACATGAGAGCAGCCTTCCTCCTAGGCTTCTGAGAACAGGGCCTGCTTAGCCCAAGGAGAGTTGACACCAGAAAAAGCTCCCCTGAAGTGAAACCACTTAAAATGGGGACCAAAATTTCATAGAATGTGGTGGACACTGGGGGTAGGGGAAGCCTGAATGGAACTTTAATCATGAAAATGGAACATAATGATAAAAGCATGTTCATAATTTTAAAGATATATTAATTCTGACAAAGAAGGAAACTAAGTTGTTTTTGAAGTGAAACTGATTTTTGTATCTTACAATAATCTTATTTGGTTTTTGCAACATGATCATAGAAGGAAGTTTTGCAAAAATATTTGATAGCTTCATCAGTTTTCAGAGTCTCTTGATATTTTGATATTCACATTCTTTTTTATAAGTATCAGTGATCACCTCCTCCACTTTCCTTTTATTGTTAACTGGTCTGAGTCTGTCACCCACACTTTTTAGGGCTTTTGCTTAAGGTTTGAGCAGTTTTCTAGCATTATTCATCAAATCCACCACCATTTGCAACATTTCTGATTATTGCAATTAGGTTGCATTCTATTTGTGTCATTTGTCATATACTTACAATATAACCATAGAGACTAACAGAAGACCAGAATACAGTGGGCAGGATAAATACTTTGGCTTCAGGTACTTAGGAAGCAAAGAGAGACTAACTTTTTATAAATAGCTCGTTAGTGAATGTTTTCACATGGGGATGACTTTCACTTCTGTATACAATTTGGTAGCTGCAAGGGCTTGGTTAATGAATATGCAAATAATAAAGACCCCCTTTTATTTGTAATGCAGATATGTTTTAATAATGTACATGCCCTTTGAACTTAGCATTTACACTTCTCAGAAGCCTTTAGCCTGAGCAACATAGCTGGGGACTCTGACTCTACAAAAATTTCGTTTTGATTACCAGGTGTGGTGGCGCATGCATTGTTAGTCCCAGCTGCTTGGGAGGCTGAGGTGGGAGGATTTGAGCCCAGGAGTTCAAGGCTGCAGTAAGCCATAGTTGTGCCACTGCACTCCAACCTGGGTGACATAGTGAGACCCTGTCTCAAAAAAAAAAAAGGTCTTAAGTGCACAGCGTAGAATGTTTTCAGTGTCACATTCTTTGTACAGCAAAATACTGGAAGTAACCCACATATCTATGAATAAGGACTTGATTGAATAAGATGGTCATCCGTGCAGTGGAATACCATCCAGCAAGGAGAAAAAGTCAGTGGCAAACTATAGTACCCTGGCCCCCTTTTTTGTTGATAGATAATGCATGGCTAGGAAATGAATATACATTGAACTGTTAGCAACCATCTCTAGGTAGTGGGATTGTGGCCTTTAATTTTTATTTATTTATTTATTTTTTGAGATGGAGTCTTGCTCATCGCCCAGGCTGGAGTGCAATGGCGCAATCTTGGCTCACTGCAAGCTCCGCCTCCGGGGTTCACGCCATTCTCCTGCCTCAGCCTCCTGAGTAGCTGGGACTACAGGCGCCCACCACCACGCCGGCTAATTTTTTGTATTTTTAGCAGAGACGGGGTTTCACTGTATTAGCCAGGAGAGCCTCGATCTCCTGACCTCGTGATCCACCCGCCTCGGCCTCCCAAAGTGCTGGGATTACAGGCGTGAGCCACCGCGCCTGGTCAATGGCCTTTACTTTTTATGCTATTTTTGTAATGTATGCCTTTTTTTACGCTGAGGGTTTTGTTTTGTGATCAGAAGAAACTTTTTCTTTCTTTTGTTTCTTAATGAGAAAAGTGTTTAAAGTCTATGTGACCTGGAGAACCATTCTCAAATTTCAGTTTTGCCAGGGTAGAGCCGGGCCTTCCAAGGCAGGAGAACAGTTGCTGGAAAGAAATTGCACCCAGCTGTTAGGCCTCTGGCAAGCAAAGCTGCAGCAGTACTTTGTAGTGGGATTCTCCACCCAGCTGGGAGGATTTGGTGGTTTCTTCTTCAGTAGAAGGGTGTATTTTAAGAACCTGAAGCAGGATTTTTCAAGTTTGGCACCATTGACATCTCAGACCAGATAAGTATTTGTTGTGGAAGCTGTTCTGTGCAGTGTAGGGTGTTAGGCAGCATCCCTGGCCTCTACCCACTAATGCCAGTAGCACACATGCTCCCTTCCCCCAGCTGGGATAGCCAGAGATGTCTCCAGATGTTGTTGCCAAATGGCCTCTGGGGAACAAAATCATCCCTGGTTGAAAACCACGAATCTAACACTTCATCCCTCCTAGTCTTGCAGAACACCAAAGCCTCTTTTCTTGAAAAAAAAAAAAAAAAAAGTTAACACCCAGTAGCCTGTTGTAACTTAAAGAAGTAGTTTGGCAACCGGGCACGGTGGCTCACGCCTGTAATCCCAGCACTTTGGGAGGCCGAGGTGGGTGAATCACCTGAGGTCAGGAATTCAAAACCAGCCTGGTCAACATGACGAAACCCTGTCTCTACTAAAAATACAAAAAATTAGCCAGGCTCGGTGATAGGCGCCTGTAATCGCAGCTACTCAGGAGGCTGAGGCAGGAGAATTGCTTGAACCTGCAAGGCGGAGGTTGCAGTGAGCCGAGATCACACCACGGCACTCCAGCCTGGGCAACAAGAGTGGAATGCCGTTTAAAAAAAAAAAGTAGCTTGACATCTTGGAGGGAAAGTACAAATTGGAAAGGCCTTTTTAGACTCAAAATATTTTTAGGGGAAAAGGAAGATGGTAGCTTAGAAGAAAATATGTTGGGTACTGAATTAAGGTCATTTCTTTAAAAAACAAAAACAAAACAGTAGATGTAGATGTTGAGTAAATTAAGTTATCCTTTGTTCAGAAGCTCTTTGCCATTATCCACAGACAGAAAATCTGGTAATTAAACTGGGGGTATGACTACAAGATTTTCTTAGACCAGTAATGAAATAACAAACCTCAATGTGCCTGTTGCGGACACCTAAGATACTGGTTAGCCTGCATCTCACAAGTTGACATTGGACATCGAGGCTGTCTTGTTAGGGGGAGTTTGCAGCCTTCTGCATCTGGGAACAGTTCATGCCTCTGAAACCAACTGGGAAAAGAGCTCCTGAGGACAAATGGTCCTGAGGCAGTTTCTGGAAAACCCATTATTGAAGCCATAGGCTGTGGTCTAAGTACTCATAGCCAGTGGGATAATTGCAGACCTGTTTGAGTAGTTCAATTAAGTGCTTTGTTTAGAAGTTATTATAAGTTAAGGAAGTAACCTTCAGTTTTGCAACTAAAAATAAAAATTATGCCACCACCATTTGATTGTCAGTTGCAGCAAAAAAAAAGATGTAAAACCACAGACCCAGCCTAGATTCTTAACAAAAACCAGTGGTTCTGAACTCTTATCAGATCCATTACCCTTTGCATAACTAGTATTTCATAATACCTCTTTTATAATCCTGAGGTGAAATTCATAGATAATTCACACAATTGCAAAGAAAATATAATGATCGGCTGGGCACGGTGGCTCATGCCTGTAATCCCAGCACTTTGGGAGGCCAAGGCGGGCGAATCACAAAGGTCGAGACCATCCTGGCTAACACAGTGAAACCCCGTCTCTACTAAAAAATTAAAAAAAAATTAGCCGAGCATGGTGGAGGGTGCCTGTAAGTCCCAGCTACTCGGGAGGCTGGGGCAGGAGAATGGTGTGAACCCGGGAGGCGGAGCTTGCAGTGAGCCGAGATTGCGCCACTGCACACCAGCCTGGGCGACAGAGCGAGACTCGGTCTCAAAAAAAAAAAGGAAAATATAATGATCTAATATAAATGACAAAGGAAAAATACTAATACATTTCCATATATAAGTGCTGGCTGGACATGGTGGCTCGCACCCGTAATCCCAGCACTTTGGGAGGCTGAGGCGGGCAGATCACTTGAGGTTAGTTGTTTAGGACGAGCCTGGCCAACATGGTGAAACCCGGCTCTACAGAAAATTTTTAAAAAGTTAACTGGGGTGGGGCACAGTGGCTCACACCTGTAATCACAGCACTTTGGGAGGTTGAGGCAAGTGGATCACTCGCCAGCCTGGCTAACATGGTGAAACCCCATCTCTACTAAAAATACAAAATTAGTACAAAATAGAAAAATTAGTTAGCTGTGGTGGCGCGGGCCTGGGTCCCAGCTACTCAGGAGGCTGAGGCAGGAAAACTGCTTGAACCTGGGAGGCAGAGGTTGCAGTAAGCTGAGATCGTG